CGCAGGAGGGTCGAAGATGCTCCTCGGTGGTCCTCGCCGAGAAAAATACACAAGTCCTAGCGATGCCAAGAGTGCCGAATGGTGCTCGCCGAGATGCCAAAAGTCCTCGCCGAGATGCCAAGAGTCCTAGCGATGCCAAGAGTCCTAGCGATGCCAAGAGTGCCAGATGGTCCTCGCCGAGATGCCAAGAGTCCTAGCGATGCCAAGAGTGCCAGATGCTCCTCGATGGACCTCGCCGAGATGCCAAGAGTCCTCGCCGAGAAAAATACCTATCGATGCCAAGAGTGGCCTTTGGTGCGCGGCTTTGGGCGGGCCGCGGGGGAACCGAACCTGGGCGCGCAAGCTGCTGCTACCGCTTCGCGCTCAACGATCGGGAGACCCCATGGGGCCCACACCAGAGGTCACTCCGGCGGAAGGTCACTATTACGTCTAGTCGAGACTGGGCACGATTCAGGAGCCATTCTGCCAGACCAGCCCGGGCTAGGCCGGACTGAGCCCGAGAGTAAGCCAGATTGACCAGGATAGAGCTGGACTGCGCGGGATGATGCCGGAGTAGGCTGGTTTCGTCCACGGATATACCAGCGCCGATGCTGAAGTGAACCTCCAAGGAGTTGCATCATCATCATCGGAGTCCCCGCAGCCACTGGGAGCTTGATGGAGTCTGCTATGTCCTGGGTCCAAGACGAATCAAGCCCGCGTAGATCTCCTGAGGCGCCCCCTGGTCCTGGTCTGAATGGGCTTGGCCTTCCCTGCCAGGCCGCCCCCCTGCACGGCGGCAGGACAGATCTGGCCCTAGGACCTCGTAGCCCTCATCGCGCCGCTCCATCAGGTACAAGTAGCGCGGCGACTCTAACAGCATGTCAGCCCTGGTGCAGACGTAGAGGACCACCGCCGGAATCAGCATGAGGCTATAAAACGTCCTCCACGCCGTGGTCGGCAGCAGGCAGCCCGACAGGATGGAGTACAGGGCTCCTCTCGGGGCACCGCCGGAAGGCTGGCGACGAAGGCCGCCGCACGAATTACGAAGGGCGCCCCACGCACTCCTCGCCAGAGAGCACCCAGACCCCCTCGGGTAATCAAAAAACATGACGGGAGCTTGTTACCGGCCCTCGGGACCTTCAAAAACGACTCCGAGTGAAAACACGGTCCAGCCCTAGGGAAATGGGTCGAGACCTCTGAGGGTCGGCGCTATGAAAAAATCAGTCCGTCGGGACTCTGGGCAGGCGGGCCCGGAGAGAAACGGACCCTGAGGCCTTCCCTTCGCGTTCGGGACCCATGGGCCCCTCACTAGAAGAAGAAAAAACGCCATGAACACAAATCTTCGGCGCTGCGCACGGATTTCTTTCGCGCCAGGGGCGGCGCCGGAGGCGCCGCCGGGGGGGGGGGCCAGCGCGGGTCCAAGAATTCGCGCGGAGCGCAAAAAGTTTACGTTGAGGGAGGAGGGCGAGGAGAAGGAAGGAGAAGTAGGAGGAGGCGGAGGAGGAGAGAAGGAGGAGGAAGGAGGAGGAGGAGGAGAGGAGGAGGGGAAGGAGGAGGAGGGAGGAGGAGGAGGAGGAGGGGAGGAGGAGGGGGAGGAGTGTTTTCGTCTTCGACTCACGGGCTCCGCAAAACAAGCGCCGATGCCAGGGGCGGGGGCCCCCGTGGGGCCCAGGGCCCGCTGCCCTCGAGGGCCCGCCTGCTTCGCGCCGGACCCTGCCGTGCAGAGCTCCGAGGCCACCGCCGCACCCTCGCACGAGCCGCTCCATGCAAACGCACGCGGCTTCCTTCGAGGGAACCCCAGGGAGGGGGCTGGCGGGCATCTAGGCCTCCCTCCTCCGCCTCCTCCTCCTCCTTTCCTCCTCCTCCCTTCCTCCTCCTCCTCCTCCTCCTCCTCCTCCTCCTCCTCCTCCTCCTCCTCTCCTCCTCCTTATCCTCCTCCTCCTCCTCCTCCTCCTCCTCCTCCTCCTCCTCCTCCTCCTCCTCCTCCTCCCTCCTCCTCCTCCTCCTCCTCCTCCTCTCCTCCTTCTCCTCCTCCGCCTCCTCCTCCTCCTCCTCCTCCTCCTCCTCCTCCTTCTCCTCCTCCCTCCCTCCCCTCCCCCCTCCCTCCTCCCTCCCTCCCTCCCCCCTCCCTCCCTCCCTCCCTCCCTCCCTCCCTCCCTCCCTCCTCCCCCTCCTCCTCAGACTGAGCGCGAAAACGTCGTTGTCCACACTGGTCATCGTCCATCTTGGTCGTCGCCAGCTCGTGGATCCTCCCCGCGGCGGTCGGCATGGACCGTGACCGAGGTCGGCGTCGACGAGATCCCGCGACCTCCTGGTCGTGGCCGTCGGCGCTTCCTCCCTCGGTCTCGGCGCACGGGCGCGGGCACGAGAGAGGCGCCCGCACGCCGACGGCGCGCGGCGCGCGCGTGCGCGCGCGCATGCGCGCGTGCCCGTCCCGCGGCCGAGAAGCGCAAGGCCATGCGTCGCACACTGCCGGCCGCGCCGCGCGAAGCTCGCGAGAGCGGCAGCAGGCGCGGCCTCTCCGGGGAGCGGTCTGGCAGCCCCCTGGCCGCAGCAGCGGGCACGGGACGAGGAGGAGCCCACTGCCCCAGGTAGGCGGCTGAGATACAAGCCGACCCGACCCTGCCTGGAAGACCGTGACCGTCCGAACCCTCGGAGTCCCGCGGCGGCGGAGGAGCAGCGCAGCAGGACGGCGGCGACGAGGCCGGACGAGCAGGACGAAGAGCAGAAGGGTGACTCGGCCAGGCGAGGATCGCCACGACCTCGGGGAGGAGGCCGAGAAGTGGGCGGAGGGGAGGTCGAGCGTGCGCAGAGGGGTGCATCCGAGATCGCATCGCGCCTCGCATCCGAGCCCAGCACTGTACACAGGGGCCCTGGGGATGTGGGCGAAGCGCAGCACGAATCAAGGAGGCACGGACCCGAGCACTCCAGAACTGTGAGGCCAGATGATGCGCGCAGGAAGGGGGGGGGGGACGGATCCGGGGAAGGAAGGGGGAGCGCCGCAGCGCCACTGCACCAGGAGGGGCCTGGCTCCACGACGGGGGCCCCGCAGGACCCAGGCACTGAGGCGCACCAGACCCCTCGGGAAAAGCAGGGGGGGGAGCGGGCCGTGCCCCCGCTCCGGGCGGGCCCTCCCTCCGCCCTCCGTCCCCTCGGTGCTGCGCGCTGGGGCCGCCCGGGGCTCAGGGCTGGGCCTCCCCTCCTCGCTGGGGGAGGGGGCGGCCGCTGCAGGTGCATTTTCCCCCCCTTGGCTCTCGGGGTGGGAGCCTTCAGCAAGACGGCGCGCAGACTGCTGCACGGCCGAGTCCGACCGACCTGCGCCCCCCTCCCCTCAGAGGCCTCGGGCTTCCCGGCATCCCCCCTGCATCGACCGCGGGTCAGAGAGCCACTTCCAGGATCGCGGCGCTGGGCGGCGGATGCCGCCTGGCGTGGGCAGGCTGCGTCTCTCGTGGAAGGAGCCCACGGTGAGGAACTCTTGCTTAGCGTGTCGCGGCGGCGGCCCTGGCGACACGCTGTGCCCTGCGCGCTGATAGCGTGTCGCTCCGCTCCGCGGGGCGGGCGGCTTGGAGAAGCTCGGAACGTTGACGCTCGACTCGGGGACCGGGGCGTGGTCAACGGGTCGCACCGAAGCGCGGCGGGCCAGAACTGGCGGCGCGACGCCAACCTAAAGGTCTTGACCGCACAGCAGTGAGGGCCAATCAGCTACACGCAAGAGTGACCCTACTAAGCAAGAGCGACCTTTGGTGCGCGGCTTCTGGGGAGCCGCCAGGGGGGCCAAACTCAAGCGCGCAAGCCGCTGCTATCGCTGGGCGCTCAACTACAGTCGGACCTACGCAGGCCAGAAGAACATCCCTCAAGAACACGAGACCCTCCGCCAGCCAAAACAACACAGAACATCCAAGGGTACCCTCCCCATGGTAGCATGGTGCACGAGAACATCCGACGAGCACGAAGAACTCGAGGGTCACCCTCCCCGAGCCGATCTCGACCTTCTACCTCGGTCCGACTGTGCCACAGCGCGCTCAGCTACGCATCGTCGGGGGCGACGATCGGGGCGAATAGCCCGGGGATGGTATTACACGCATTCGGCCGGGGGCCTTTTCTAGGGGAACAAAAACGACATAAACATAACAACTCGGAGGTCCGCGCGGATTTCTCGGATCGGCGCTGGACCCCCCTCCCTGGCGCGCGGAGCGCGCCAGGGGCGGCGCCGGAGGCGCCGCCGGGGGGCCCCAGCGCCGATCCGAGAGATCCGCGCGGACCTCCGAGTTTTTATGTTTATGTCACTTCTTGTTCCCCTATTCTCGGAGACACAGATCACCGGCGCACCTGAATACACGTGCTGCTCTCCCCTGGGCTGTTCGCCCACATCGTCGCCTCCAAATAGCGGAGGACCCCAGCGGGCCCGCACCGAAGGTCCCTCCTCCGGCGAAAGGCCACCCCTTCGCGCAGCCGAGCGCCACACCTGCCCGGGCCCCCCGAGGCGCGGCGGGGCCACGAGCACCCAGGCCCCCGCCCGGTGCGGCCCGCCCGCCCCGGCCAGGAAGTCCTGCGGGCCAGCCCGCGCACCACACGGTCAGGTAGAAGCCCCGGTGACCTCGGCGGAGGGGGGCCCTCCTCCTCCTCCTCCTCCTCCTCCTCCTCCTCCTCCTCCTCCTCCTCCTCCTCCTCCTCTCCTCCTCCTCCTCCTCCTCCTCTCCTCCTCCTCCTCTCTCCTCCTCCTCCTCCTCCTCCTCCTCCTCCTCCCCCTCCTCTTCAAGAACCGTTCGGCTCCGTCGCCCCTAGGGAGGGGCCGCGGGGTCGCGCCGAGCCTCCGCGAGGCGTTCTTGGGGCCGCGCGCTATAAGCTGTCTGGCGGCAGCTGGTGGCGGCGAGGTGCCGATTCGGCGCAATCAGGATTGGAATTTCTCAGAGGTCTCTGGAGGCGTGGTCCTGGGATCCTAACGAGATGGGGCGAAGTGCCTCCCGTCGGCCGCGTTCTGTCGGACGCAAGCGGGTTTCGTTCGATCGGCCCTGGTCCCGATGTTCGGCCTGCCGCCGCTGGGAGCGGGACGACCTGTTGGAGGCTCAGAACTGGCAGCGTCCCTACGGCGCCAAGGTGACGCAGTTCCGAGCTCCCTCCCAGCCTCGACCTCGCGACGGCGCTGGCGGTCGAGGACGCGGCGGGCCTGGCGGTGCTCCTGGCGCAGGCGGGGCGGCCGCCGACCAGCTGCAGCGCCCAGGAGCCCCAGCGCGCGACAGCTCGGCGCCCCCCGAGTTGGCCGCGGCGCCGCGAGCTGTCGAGGCCCACGCGCAGGCCGCGGCGGCGGAGGCGAAGGCAAGGGGGCCGACGCGGGACGACGCGCTCCGCAGGGCGGCGGGGGAGCGCAAGGACCTCCACAGGCGGCGCCAGGCCGCAGTGGGCCAGGTCCTGCGCTGCCGCGCGGGCCTGCGCGCGGCCGAGGCCCGCGAGCGCGAGCTCGCCCTGCTGCCGGCCGAGGCCGAGGCCGCCAAGCAGAAGGCCGCCGCCGCAGTGGCGTCGCCGGGCGGCCCCGCGCCTCCTGCTGGCGCAGCCGCCGCAGCTGCGGCGTCCGAGGAGTCCTTAGAGCTCTTCCAGTTGCGCTGGGACGACTCGATCTTCTCGGCGAACATCCTGGAGGAGCTGGATGAGCAGGGGCGCGGCAGCCTCGCCAGCCTCCGCAAGGAGCTCCTGGCGGCGAAGGACCTCCTGCAGTCCCTTTCGGGAGAGGTCCGCGAGGAGCTCGCCGCGGCGCAGCGCCCCGCCGCCACCAGTCGCCAGCGCCTGGCCAAGAAGCGCAATGGCGACGACGGCGACGCCGAGGGCCCCACGCAGGCGGCGGCAGCACCAGCAGCAGCACCCGCAGCAGCAGCAGATGCGCCAGCAGCAGCAGCAGCAGCTCCAGCAGCAGCAGCTGTAGCAGCACCCGTCGACGCCGCCGCCGCGAAGGCTGCTGGCGCTGCCCCAGCGGCCCCAGCCGAGAAGGCAGGTGACCCCGCGTCGGCCGCCGCTGCCGCAAAGCTGAGCCAGGCCAAGTTCAAGGCGGCCGAGCAGGCGACCGCAGCCGCGGCAGCCCGCGGTGCCGCAGGTTCGGCTGGCCCAGGCGCGGCGCCGCCCGATGCTGAGGATCGCGACCTGTGACGCCAGGCGTCGCCAGCGGCTAAAGGGTTAGCCGCTGGCGCGGCTGGCAGCGGCGCGCTTCCGCGCAGTTGTTTGACATCTCTTGCAGCGATGACGGTATCCCTGGCGCTGCGGGGTCAGCCACCGCCGCAGTCGCAGCCGACTGCCCGCGCGGGGTAACAACACCCGAGGGCGGGCTCATCATTGACGGGGCGCCCGTGGCTCGCGACGAGCCACCTCGTCACAGTCGCACCTTCTTCTTATTCTTATTATTATTATTCTTCTTCTTCTTCGTCTTCTTCTTCTCGAACATCACTGCGATGGGGCCGCAGGCTTGGGGGTTCGTGGAGAAGGGGGCGCGCCGACTGCGATGTTCTGGGTTTCGCGGAGACGCACGCCCGCACCTCGCCCAAGCTGGACGAGTGGAGCCGCAAGGCGAGGCACGCTGGCTGGCGAGCACACGCCAACCCTGCTCGCGTTTCGAGCGGCGGCGGCACTGAGGGCGGCGAGTGGCTGCTCGCCCGTCGGCACCTTCACGTGCACCGCTTGGAGGCCACCACACCTGCGCCCAGGCAGCTCTGCGCGCCCGCCTCCTCCGACCTGGACGGCTCCCAGGCCGGCGTGCTGCGCGCGCAGGGGTGCGCCGTGGTGGCCATCGTCTTCCACGCCTTTTCGCCCCTCGGCTGGGCGGGAGACAGGAGGCGCGGGCACGCTCGCCTCGGCGCGCCGCTCGCGGCCCTTCAGCTGCCCTGGCTGATGCTCGGCGACTCCAACATGGGGCCGTCAGTTCTACGGCAGCGCGGCTTCGTGGAGCGCGCCGGCGGGCGCGTGCTACAGGGCGCCGCGACCTTCACCCGCGCTGCTGCCGCCACGGGATCGCACATCGACTGCGGCCTGTGCTCGACATCCTGCCAACCGCACCGCGACGCGCAGGCCGCCCCCTGGAAGACCCACTGCGATCTCGCGGTGGAGCTCCTCGGCAGCGGCCAGCAGTTGATGGCGCGCCGCCCAGCGGCGCCGCGGCCACTGCCCACGGGCGCCCGCCCCCGCCCGCCGCCGGCAGCCTCGGCCAAGCGGCGCGAGACGCGCGCTCGCAGCGACGCCACTCGTCTCAAGCGCGATGATTTCTGGAAGAAGGTCTTCGGCAGCCCGTCGGAGGCACCCGAGGCTGACGCGCTGCGCCGACGACAGGGACGGCGAAGGGTTCACCTCCAGCGACGGCGATGACTCGCGGGCTGACGAAGTTGCCGTTGCCGCCGCCACGGGATGACGCGCCCCCCGCGAGGGAGAGAGGCGCGCCCTCTGGCAGGACGCCCCAGCCCAGCACCCGCAGCCCCAGCACCTTCGCCGAGTAGCCGCTGCTGGCCGCCGCCCACGACGCCGCCCCCACTGCTGGCGACGGCGAGGCCGGCGGGCCTCAGGCCCGAGCAGCCCCCAAGTGCCACGCCATGGACGACGGCGACGCTGACCCGTTCGACTGCTTGGACGGGGACGAAGGCCAGGGCTTCCCATCATTCGAAGAGATCGAGGAGCCCCCCGAGGCCGAGTCGCACCAGGAAGGCGTTTCCGACCGTGGGCATGCCTGGTCGAGGGGGCTGGCGGGAATCAGTATCGGAGCCACCCTGTCTCTGGAGCGAGGCAACCACAGTCTCTGGCACCCCACCCCGTCACATCTCTGTCGCCCGATCGCGACGATAGCCCAGGCGACGATGGAAACGCTACTTACTGGATCTCTGATCATGCGTGGGAGCGGGCGGCCGACGCCAGAGCTCCTGCTGCTACGCCGTGGGCAATGATCGGCAAGTCGGCCGCCTGCCGCGTCGGTGCCAAGGACATCGGACCCCTCAGCGACGCCTACGCCAAATAGGTTCACCAGGTCGAGGCAGCCGCGCGTCGCCATGAACGGGGGCCCCACCTAGTCGAGCGTCTGGTCTCAGCGGCCCCGCGCGCCATCCACGCGGAGGTCACCGACGCCGACTGCGCGGCTAGCTGGTGGACGGCGCTGCACATCGTCCTCGGGAAGCCCGCGCGCTACTCGACGGGGGCCGTCGGCGACACCCCCGCTGCTCGCACCGCGGCTGCCGAACGTCGACGCGCCGCCGCTGAGTGCCGCCGCTTAGCACGGGATGCCCCTGCCCATGCTCGTCGTGCTCTCGCCGCGGCGGGTCCACGCGCTCGCGGGGCAGCGGCAGAGGAGCCGCCCATCACCTGGGCCAGCCTCCGCAGGGACCTTCGCGCTCTGCCACGCTTGCCCACCCAAGCCGTCGAGCATGTGCTGGTGGTCGTGCAAAGCAGCCCGCGCCGTGGGCGCGGTCGCGCGGCGGGCGCCTCCCTGCGCAGCTTCAAGGATCGGATCGCCACGCCGCAGGACTCGTCAGTGCTCTTCAGGTCCTTGAAGAGGCAATCCGACCTGGCAGACGAGATGATCGACCCGCAAGGATGTCAGTCCCTCGCCCACCCCCGCGGCCTGGTGGACCACAAGGCCAGAGTCTGGCACGAGCTGTGGGCGCCCCACCAGGAGGACACGCACGCGGTCGACACCTTCTGGAGCAAGCTGCGCGGGTTGCTCGGCTTTGAGGACCTCCCAGCGCTGGACCTTCCTCAGTTGCGGGCCGCCTTGAAGCGCATGCGCCCACGCGCAGGCCGAGGCATCGACCAGCTGCGCCCCGCTGACGTCGAGCGGTTGCCTGACTGCGCCCTCATCGAGCTCCTCGCCGTGCACTCGGAGCGCGAGCAGGCAGGAAACTGGCCATGGCAACTGCTCTTGGTCACGGGTCACCTCTTGGCCAAGAAGGCGGCTGCGAGCGCGTGATCAGCCTCCTCCGCGTGATCACAAGCATCTGGAGCCAAGCCCACGAGCCCATCATCCAGGACTGGAGCCACGACACGGCCCCGCCCCGGGACGCCGCGGTCCGCGGGAACGCCACCGTCTCCGAGGCCTTCGCGCGCGTCACGGACGAGGAGGCCTACAGCACGATGGGCCCAGCGCGCGCGCGCCATGCTTGACGTCAAAGCCTTCTACGACTCCATGGACTGGGTCAAGCTCGGACGCGCCGCCTTGCGGCTGGGTTTCCCGCCCACCATGCTCGCCCTAGAACTCCAGCTGCGCCTCGCCCCGCGGGTCTTGATCCGCGACTGAGCGGCGCCGCTGGCCTTCCAACCCACCAGGTCCATCGCGCAGGGGCTGCGCTCGTGGACACGGTTCGCACGGTGCCTCACCTACTTCCTCTTGGACAGGATCACGCAATCCAAGCCGACAGGTCTCCTGGCCCCATCGCATCTGGATCGACGACCTGTCCGAGGCGGCGGTCAGCACGGAGCAAGTCGTGGAGAGCACCTTGACCGCTATTGTGGCGGAGACCTGCGACAGGTTCGTCACCGACGGCCTCCGCATCTCGCCGAAGAGCGCGGTCTTTGCCAACCGCCGCGGGCTGGCCAAGCGCATCATAGACGCCCTCCGCGCCAAGGGCCACGTCGTCTCGGCCACCAAGTGCGCGCCCTGCCTCGGCGTCGACCTCGCTGCCGGCAAGGGCGCGCGACGACCTACTCGGACCAGCAGGACGAAGAAGGCTGTCAGGCCGCATCTTCGAGCTCGAGGCTTCGTTCGGGCCAGCAAGCAGCATCGCACCTGCTCGCGGATCGAGATGGCGCCCCCCCAGGCCGCAGCCAGCTACGGGCACCACACCCTTGGGACCCCAGCTGCCTGGCGGCGCAAGGCCCGCCAGCGCCGCGGCGCCGTGAGCGCCGCAGCCGGCCATTCGTCCGCATACCATCCCGAGGCAGCTGCCGCCCAGACTGCGGGGCCCTTGCCCTTCGTCGTGCCCCACCAGAAGTCTGACTTGGCAGCTCACACTCTGGAGCTGGATGCGGACTCTCCTAGACAGCGGAGTTTCTCCGGGGTCTT